CCCCAAAACCCCAAAACCCCAAAACCCCAATTTTACAAATCTTGTTGAGAATGAATGAATTATATTCTTAAATATATTAAAAATCAATAAGCCTAAGGATTATCAGCATCCTCGTCGGAGTTGAAGTTATCAAGATCATCTAGGAATTTTTGTTTCTTTTCTTCATTAACGATATCTTTGAGAGGCTTGTATTCTTCTCCGATAACTGATGAGATGTCTATGCCTTTTTCTCTAGCTATTCTCAGCCATATCTTGCACTCCTGTTCTCTGTGTTCCTCAGTCTTTATCTCAACTACTTTGAGTCTTTCTCTTTCATCCTATTATCTCTTTCTCATATTTTGGTATCTTTTGAGAGCCTCTTGGAACTCTTGGACCTACTTAGGGCTTTCAATTTTCTTGTACTCAAGTATATTTCTCCAAGCATACTCTTCTTTTACTGGCTCCTTAGGAATTGAGACTGTTTAGTTAACTAGCTCAACAGTCTAAGGGATCCTAGGCATTTCATGATTAGCTTGATTAGGATCAAACTCTACAGTTTTTCTCATAAAGAGATGCGAAGTGGCATCTTCATTGTCGACTCTGATCTGCTTCTTGGATCTTATCAGTGACTTGTCCTTGTTTGTGCACCTGAATAGGTATTCAAGCTGCTCAGAGTTGTAGAATTCGTAGCCCACGTCGTTTTTAATCATGAATATCCTGGGATGGGCGATTGTCTTTGGAGGAGGCAAGAACTTACACTCTTCCTCAATATACTCTCCATCTACGATCTTTGGCGAGTCTGGTTCCTTCTGCTCAATTCCTTCCACCATCTGGTCAAGGTTGAAACTAACTGAAAGCTTCTCGACTGAGTCTCCATTGGCAAAGACTATGAACACATTGCCCTCTTCATCTTAAGTTATCAGTCTGCCCTAGTCAAGGTTGACAGTGTACACTCCAGACCTTCTTTCATTAGGCACTCCGAACAACTCAAAGTAGTGATCGTAGTCGTTCACTCCGAATGTCTTTTATTTTCCAATATTGTTCAGATAGGCTCTCTGGTTAGAGGATATAAGGACCATCTCTCCGTCTTGTCTGACCTTGATGATGGAAAAATCATCTCTTCTGATCAAGTGAACCATGTTCGTCATGAAGTTGTTGAATCCCTCTTGCTCTTGTCGTTCTTAGTAACTCTAAACTACTGTTTTATCTGGAAGCAACACTTCTGTTACTTTCCCATTATTAGTCCTCTCCATGATGTTTTCAACCCCCATCATTGAGTCAGCACCTCCTAATCCAATGACAGTTTTTGCTCTTGCCTTTACAGGGTCATAAATCAATCTGACTGGAGCGAATCCTTCCTTAGTTATTAAGGTGATTGTGCCACTTCCACTTTCCACGTTTTTCTTAGTTAGAACCTGAGTGCCATCAGGCATCATTACCATTCTGCTTTCATCTAGGTATTTTATTATTAGCACACCATCCTCTCTCACAGACACAAGAGAGCTGGTCTCAGGGTCTTGCTTCTCTGTGATCTTGAGTCTTTTGGGCTCGTCATAGACCAAGTTGTCTTGAAGTTTCCTGACTCTCTTAACTCCAAGAGAGTTCACAGTGAACCACACTCCCTTCCTCTTGTCAGTGGTGGTGATTGTGCCATCTGGGTAGAAGATCTGCATATTGCCATCCAAAAAGTATCTAATTACCTGACCACCTCGAGTTATAAGTCTAGACTTCTCCTGAAGGTTAGCTGGAAGAGAGTCTTGATGCAAAGTGCCTCCGTACTTCTTCTTCTCGTGAGTGTTCTCAATGATTTACTGGCTGATATCACCATTAGGCATGATCATGACAATTAGGCCTTGTTGATAAGTAAAAGTTAGCTTGGCACCTGCAGTTGGATCATATCTATCCTAGAAAAATTGCTGTTTGCTTGCTGCTGACATCAGTCTTTGCTCCTCATCTCTTCTTTTTTAGATCAAAGCTAGTTCTTATGGAGATGGACCTGAAGGTTGAGAACCATCTGATCCAATTGATTTTGCTGAATCACTCTTTTGAAGTGTCTATTGAACTGGAGCTCCTTTAGCTCCTGGAGCTGGCTAGGTTTATTTCATTGTTGACTCTTTGCCACCTGGAGCACCTGCTGCTGGTTATTTAATTGATTTTACTGAATCGTTCTTGATAATTCCAGGTTTAGATTACCCAGCAGCAACACTTTCAATATGCAGAGTTGGAGATTTCTCTTCTACATCACCACCATGCTGCATCATAGAAACAGTACCACTAGTTCTCTTAGCCTCTTCATCATGATTTGCAGGCAGAGGATCGTGAAGTGGTATCTCTTCCAGATGTGGAATCTACCTGTCAGTCATTTCAACCAAAAGCTTAGTTCCATTTTCAAATTCTAGCCAAAATGTGCATCTTCTGTCAGACTGAGCCCAGGCCTCTCGATTTAAGACTTCATCTTCAAATAATCCTGATTTAGATTTAAACTTATCGATACTCTCCTTGATACCGAAGACCAAGTTATCTTTGATAACTAAAGAGGTTCCAATTCTTCTGTTACCAATAATGTGCTTGTCAATTCTTATAATACTATTATCGCAAGGGAAACAATACTTAGAATTAGTTCTTATCAATCCAACTTTAGAGGACTCAATATCTATTAATTAGCTATAATCGATGGCTTGAGTTGCCTCATGCTTCACAAAGTTTCTCCAAATTTGATATTCTGGGAATACCTTGATTGGTGCAGTCCATTATCTCCTTAATAGCCTTCCAGGTGGATTTTTGTAGTAAATTCCGAGCAGTAGAGCATCTTCATTTTTCTCATATTAGTATACGAACTCCGGACTATTTCTCATGGAGTTAGATAAAACTTATCTCAGAGTAGTTGCATCATACTTCTCAACGTAGTTTCTATCCAAGAAGAAAAATTCTCGCTCTGGATGCACATCCTTTTATTTGAACATCTCCTGGCATTGATGAAGTATTAGTGTTCTCTTAGTTTATGAAGAAGGCATATTTGAAAACGAAATAATAGCAGCAAGGTCAGATTCTCTCTAAGGTTATTAAATGGTGGGCTACTAAGGCATCCCTAGTCTATTGTTAATTCCTGGAAGTTAAGATTTTTATAAGGTTTTGTTCTCATTCATAGTTATCGCTTCACCGCTTAAGAAGGTATAGGTTTGAGCAAGCTTACTTACTCTATCATTTTCATTAAAAAGACTTTAATAAGGAGAAGCAGTGATTTGTCTGTTTGCTGGCTATTCAATAAATTAATGACGGAATGAAGTCTCAACAATGTTGTGTTCAATTGAAAGCTTGTTAAAGATATCTTCAAAATAATCGTTTATATCATTCTCTTGCTCTTCAGTTTTCAAAATAAACTGTCTTTCTTGTTCGCTTTAGTCTCCTTACTTGCTACTAGCTTTGCTCTAAGTAGCTATTTGATAGACCATTGCAGCAAGAATATTACCAACTGATCCGTTATCAGGGTTAAGTTCAGCCATTACTTTTTCAAACTGGTTGAAATGCCATTCCTTTTCCTCGTCGTCTCTGCTCTTTGGCATGGCCTTGTACTTCTAAGCCAATTCGTCAAGTCTAGAATGCATCTCAGTTCTATTGCCTCCTTAACTATTCAAATTTTCTCTTGATTAGTTATTTTGAGTAGGAGGTGGCTATTAAGCTTTAGCAGCAGGCCCCTTTTTGGCAGCTGCCTATTATTATTGCTGCTATTGTTGCAGCAATGCCTCCTTAGCTTTCTTTTCTTCATCAAGTCTTTTCTAAATTTCCTTCTATTTCTCTTCTTCCTCTCTGATCTTTTTCAAAATCTCATCAGGATATGGCATCAGTGGCTTTGTTTGTATTTCATTCTTGAACTTCTTCTTAATCAATCTGTATTCCTAGAGATCTCTAGCATATGAATCAACTTCCTCTTTGAACTTCTAAGCAAATTCAGTGTACTACTATTCTGCCTCTGGAGATATCTCTCTTGATTGATTTGGATCTTGATTTGAGTCATGTAGTAATGTTGATGAGTCTGGACCTTAAAATCTCATTTTATTAACAGTGCAAAGTTTAAAATCACTTTCAGCAGATCCTTAAGCGAATATCTTACCAACTTCCAAGACTGCCTAAAATGCAGCCACTCTTTCATCAGCTAAAAACTCTATTTTTCTTTTTTCCTCTATCCTCTTTCTCTCCTACTCTTAATAGTAACGGTCCATAGTTGGATCAGACGAAGAGAACTTTAATATTTCTTCATCTTCACTTTCAGATAAAAATAACTCTTCGATAACAATTACACTGTGAATGTGCTGCTGATGAGTTTAGTATTGGTAAAATGCCTTGAATTCCTATAAAGTCTAGGGGAAATCTTTCAGCCACAGAGTAGTCTCGACCTCATTGTGGTCTTGCTGATTTGGCTAGTCTTTCTTCAATCTTCTCGCTGCTACTTCAAAAGCCATCAGTAGATCATTAGTAGTCTTAGCGAATACCTCTGTCATTTTATCTTGGCCAAGTTTGCCTAGTAAGTCTAAGGAGTCTTCTTCAGTAATATATTGTTTAAGTTTAGCGAAGTTTATGATGTCTTCTCTTTAAATTACTTTTATCTTTTGACTCATGGGATCTTCAGGTTGGAAAGTGTAATGCTTCAGTAGCTATTGATACACATTTTAAAGATTCTTTCTGTATTTGAAAGCGGGAACTGTTGCAAACACAAAATTGTTGATTGGTGGCAGTGTTGCTAGATCTGAATAGTCATCATCTACGAATTGCTGAGCACCGCCTGGCTTCTTATCGCCTGGTTTGCCTTGTGGTTTGGGAGGCATATTTAAATTAAAAAATATGAATTATAATCATCTTTAAAATTATTTTAATTTTGTAATGATTATTAAACAAAAAACAAAGTTTATTCATCACTAATTTCACTAAGCTGCACCCTTTTTTATTAGGTAGAAAATTACATTCGTTAGGTACTCCTTGCACTAATCTAATTCTGGGTCGCTCTATGATGTCTTTCTTGCGGTCTATATAAATATTATATAACAATTTTAATTGACCTACCTTGAAATCTTGATCCAAAAGTGGCAAAATCTTCTGAGAAGAATTGATAAGGAATCTTAGAATTTGCTTCTCACCTGATGTGTATAGCAGGCAGTTTCTTTCATTGAAGGTAAGATCAGTTTTCTCAAGTTCCTTCAAGTCTTCTTCAAGAGATCTATCGTATCTATCATAGGCGTCCTTGGCTAAGTAGAGAATTCTCTGGAGAACCTTCTTTTCATTTCTGATTGAAAGTGGTGGTAAATCTTTAGCTTTGAAACCTTTGCTTGAGTCGTCCTCGCCCTCAGAATCAGAGTCCTCTCCTCTTCTGTATTTTTAAGCTCTGCTAATGGCAGCCCCCTGATATTGATAGATAAGTGTGATGTTTTCATCATACTCAACGAATCTCAACCATGAGAAGAACTCTTGCATGATTCTGTCTTCGAAGTTCTCAACTACTCTGAACTTCTTGTATTCTGAGTGGTCCTAGATCATGTCTTGCTTGACTTGTTTTAGTTGATCATCGAGATGATAGTAAACCTTTAACGGTACTTCGTTGGCATCGTTGTTCAGGTTGATGAATCCATAGTTTAAGAAGAATCTGCTATTGCACTTCTTACCGTAACTATCATAAACTTGATCACCTCTCTTAATGTCTTCAATGGCCTCAATGATGAAACCTTGCTTTTCATCAGTGTAAGTCCAAGAGGTCTATCTTGGTCTCTTATGATTCAACATATCGGCGTAAGCTACAAAACCATCGGTCTTAACTCCTTCAACTTATATTCCGAAGATTCTACTTGAGACCATCATTCTGATCTCAGAGTATTCTCTTAGGGGGAACTGAACATAGTCAGGCACCTCCTTACATATCAGATCGTAATCTGCTTTGATATCTTCAATTTTCTCATGAATCTAGTCAAGGAAAGGACTTCCCTTAAGCCATTTTTTCTCCTCATCAGTGAAGAATATTGGGAAATTGCTAAAGTTTTTGGGGAGAATGTCGATATATGTGTGCCATTCGGATATTTCCTTTCTTTTTTCTTGCATAATAAAGGTACTCAAGAATGAGTGCTTTGGTGAGATCAGCCTCTGTCTCAATCCTTTTTCGTACATCTTCTTTCCTACTGGTGATGAGATAGCCATCTCTAATGTAATGATTTGATGCTTTGGCACGTGTAATATAATCTCTCCCTTCTAAATATCTCTTGCTGCATGCACTCCTCTGTAGTCAGCAGTGTAGTATCTGATCTTAATTTTGTCGAAAGTTGATCCACCGTCCTTGAGCCACTACAATAGTTTTTCAAACCTCTATCTCTCTGGATGCTCTACTGGTATTGAGTTATCCTCTTCATATTCTTATTTGGTCTCCTCTAGTAGTTTAACAAGATCGTTGTTTGAAGGTTCTACAGCTAGTGCCTCCTTCAGTACCTCAATAGCTTAGAGATCATCTAACTTTTCTCTCAATGCTTAAGCTTTTCTGAAATAGGCCTAAATTAAACATTAATTAGTTATCAAGAAATCGATGCCAAGAGATTCTATTATTGAAATATGTGTATATTAGAGCACTTGCTTACCTTGACAAAGTTTTTATTGATCTCAATAGCTTTATCGCAATCTCTAATAGCATCATCGAATCTCTCGACAATATTGAAAACAGCAGCTCCTATGAAATTTAATATTTTGTATTATTTACTGTTAGTATAAAATACCGGGTCATTTGGATCGCACTCAATAGCTTTTGAGAAGCATTCAATGGCCTCATCATAGTTCTTGTTGAGGAATGCTTTGTTTCCAAGTTCCTAGATTTCATATTAGAATGCCCCATTAAATGAGAATAAAGTTGGCATACCTTTAATTTGATAGGATCGTTTATATCTTTTGATTGCTTCTTCTTGTCTTTTTTAGGCATATTTGTTTTTATAAATTACAAATAATAAATACTATATTTTCGAAATAAGCGATTTCTATACTTAAGGGGTTTTGGGGTTTTGGGGTTTTGGGG